ACAGCTGACAAGAAAAGCAGGTCAGCAAGCAGCACAACTCCTCTTTGAGATTGCTGCCCAAAAAATACCCGAGAGGGGGAAAAAAAGCCCCAAAGCCTCAAACAATTTAAAAAAATCCCAAACCCAGGGGTCGCAGAAGAGCCAGAAGAACCCAAAGAGGAATTTTTCCTCTCTCTGGGCCTGCAGCACTGGCACAGGGCACTGGAAATGGAGCTGGAGAAACAAGCCAAGGCCAAGGAACAGACTGATCTGGCCACAGGCAAACAGACTGAACTGAGACACAAGGCCAGGAGTGAGTGAACGTGGCAGATCAGGCCAGGGCAGCTGAGCCCTACCATGCACGGCCAGGCTCAGCCTGGCTGCTCCCATTCCCAAAGCCCCAGCACTGACTCTGCAGCTCCCAACCCCCAAATGTTCCACCCTGTGATTGATTATTCAGCTTTAAAGCTGTGGTTCCTTTGAGCACAGGCACAGCTCTGCACTCTCAGTGCTGCTGCAAGTTCAGGCTCAGGGTCTTAAATGCAGAATTCTCCAGAAAAGCTCAGATCCAGCACAATATGGAACAGTATTCTGGAGCAGCATTTAGGTGTCTTCAACTATTTTCTACTTTTGCCCCTCACTGGTTTTCCACTCAGCACTGATCAAAGAACCCAAATTCTCTCTCCTTTGGTAAACTCTGCACATCTCATAATTGAAGGGCAGCAGGAGGATTTTGCACACTTGCTGTTTTTAAACAATCTCATTAGAACATTCCATGAAATCAGAAGAAACTCTCCTAGTGCCAGCCAAAGTACAATTCCTCCATCTCCCTTTCCCACAAGGATGTTGCAACAAATCAGCACAAAATAAATACGAGTGGCTTAAACAAATGTTTAGCTACAGAGAAAACTCCAGCAGTTAACTATTAACTGTCTGTACCACAAAACAAATCAGGTTTAATGGGCCAGGACAGAAAAGCAGCAGCTGGATGAACTCTCCAAACAAGCTGTTCTGCAGGTCAAGAGGAGTTTTGCTGAACAGAGATGAATTCACACTTCCCAGCTTCAAGAACCAGATTTAAGGGCCCAATAAAGTTTTAGTTTCCCATCAGCAAGAACCACAGGGAGGAGGTGGAACAAAGTCAACTGAATTCTTCCATTTTGTCCAAGTTGTTCTCAAAATGGCACATTCTGAAGTCACCGTTCAGCCCTCAGATCTCATAATCTTAACCGTCATTGAGAAGGCCACAGTCTTGTCTGGGCAGAAGAGCAAAGCAGAAAAGACAAGGAAAACTAAAGGAGAGGAAGAAAAGAGCAGAGAGGAGGAGAAATGATGTGAGAGCAGAAGGAAGGAAGAGCAGGAGGAAGGACAAGCAGGGAGCACAGGCTGCCCAGCCCCAACTGTGACCGGTTCTCTCTTAGCGCGATACTTGATCATCACTGGGCCGCCAGGACCTGCACACACCGACCCTAAAGCTGCCACCCCAGGCACACAAGTCTTACAAACTGAAGCCTTTACATGACCAGGATTTTAAAAGCTTGGGGTTATGCAGATGGGATGTACAAGGAGGAGTTTCAAGGTGCTAGCACTTGGATGCCACAGTTCTTACACAGCTGCCGCATCTGTACTTCCATGAGGGCCCATATACCTGAGAGCTTTACAGGTTTTAAGATTGTGCACAATTTAAAGCAAAAAAAAAGCCAAACCACCTTTGTCAAGATGTGAGTTTGAAGCTGAGCAGCTGCAACTGGAGCAGCTGCTCCCTGTTCCAGGCAGTCACGCTCCCAGTTCCACAGTCTGTGCTAAGGCTCTGCTGAGTCACCACACACCAAAGCTTGAAGTTCCCCTTCTGTCAACAGCCACAGACCTGAACTGCACCACAAACCCACTCACAGCCCTGGCAGCTGTTGACTGATCTCCCTAACAATACCAACAGCAATTCCCATGATCCCAGCCCAGTGCTGCACACAAACTCCCACCCCCACACACAGGTTACTACTCCATTGTGTTCACAGAGCAATTGCTCCAGCAATACAAAGCATTTCCTCCTCCCCAGTGTTTGTGTCTGAGCTAAGTCCTTACAGCTCTCAGGAAAGATGGGGATAAAGCAAATAAATTACAGGAACAGCCCCAGCATCGAGCAGTTGGACGCAGCAATCAGGACAAGCAACTCCCACTGCAGGAACCAGCAGCTCCACAAGGCTGATCCCAGCAGGAAGGCTTATGTTGTGCTGCAGGAGTTTATAATCTGTGTATAACAAACATAATTACAACTATGACCTGAGGAGGAAGTTATTTATTTGTCTGCAAAATTCCTCTGAGGCTTTTAAAGGAGTTACCTTGGCTCTCCCCAGCACTGTGTCCATTATTTTAGGCTCTTAAGCTGCCACCTTCTAGTTCATTTTTTTAGTAAAGTTAAAAAACATCACTCATTTGATGAAACAAAATAAATAATGTGGTCCCACCACACTGTATGGGGCATGCAAGGAACACTTGAGGATCTCAGCAGTGCAAGTTTTGCAGGAGCAAAGCCCTGGCAGAACTCTCTTACCGATTCCTGTGGAATGGGCGACCTATACTCAGAGAAGCAGCATTTGTTTTGTATGATCCTGGTGTATTAAAGCCGTTCACAAATCCACCGTTGGGAAACGGGGCCTGCAACAGACACAACAGTCTCAGTGGCTGAGCTACAAAGAGAAGGTTTGCAGATTAATGATCAGCTTCAGCAGTTACTCATGGCTGTAATTGCATCTACTGTGGTGAGAACTCACTACTCCAGCCAAATCCCCACAGGTTCACAGTCTGCATCTGCTTCAGCAGAGTTCCCCCATTCCTGGAAAAGCTGTAGGCTCTTCCAGTAACACAAGCTGCAGAATAATGGAATTTCACACCAAAATTCCTTGAAATACGTGGCAGCCAATGGTGAGAGTGGCAGCTCCTCTGCCAGTGTTGCTTTATCAGGACATAAGTGTCACAAAACAGAAGGATCTGACCAAGAAACCTGGAACACCCCCTCACCCTAGGGATTATTAACCAAATCCCCCCTGATGGGCTGGGCTCCTCCCCTTCTCAGCTGTTACTCACCAGTGGTGTCTCAAAGTAAGGTGCAGGATTTGGAGACCACGTCTGAGGCACGATGCTGTAAATGGAGTACTGCTGAGGGCTATATACAGGCTGCATAAACAGGGGGGAGGCAAACTGGGCTTGGGTCTGCACGGGCTGGGGATACACACTGGAATCCACCACCCGGTAACCATTCTTAGCAAAAAACGTGTTGATGGCTTTTATCCTGGCCTGCAAGACAGCAAAGCACACCAGGTGTCAGCTGGGAGAAAAGGAGAACGTGGAATCTTTCTTGCCTGCTGGAGGGATGTGAAGGTTCATTACTGTTTATGAATAAAAACTGATAAAATCACTCCAGCTCATAATCCCACAGCATGATAAGGGGAAGGACACATGTTGCTTTAGCTGGGTGATCTGTAAAATTGAAGATAAATGCAGGAACTGTCCAGACTCCAATCGTGACAGCTCCTCTCACAGTGCACGCACTTTGCTCCAGCCTGCTTTGTGCAGCAGCCAACTCAAGGCTCTCAGTGGCAGGAATCCCTCTCCTGAGCTCTGCAAGCCCAGATTCTGGGGCAAGAGGAGAAGGGAAGCCAGCACAGGAATGTGTTTCACCCCCCCTGGGAAGCAGTGCTGTGAGTAACCAGCAGCCACTGAACTGTAATTTGTCAGAGCTCCCCATGCCCTCGTTCAGTCTCAGCCTCCAGAGCCAGAGCTATGGACCATCCCACTGCTGAGTCCTTGGATCAGCCCCACAAATGGTCACCATCACCCAAACAGAAACAACACAATGCAATCCCAACAGAAACAGCAGCTAAAGCAGCCTCACCATTACTGGCTTGCCCTGAAAGGTTTTCACTTCTTCCCTTAAGTATTTGAATGCCTGCAGATACAAAAAAAAAAAAAATCAACATTAGAATATCTTGATCAAGTTGTACTTCCCAAAGGATGCTCCATGATTTAACACAAATGTGCAGTCATGTGCTTCCCTGTCAGCCCAGCTAAATTCATTAATACTTCAAATTCAGGACTCTAGTGCCAGTCATGGCCAGAGAATGCCAAGGCAAGAGCCAGGCAAGGGAATTATAACCCCACAATCTTTCACCTTTGGTCTTATTAACCAGAATCTGCCAGTAATCTCTTAAAACAACAAAAAGGGGATCAGTAAATAAATATTTCTTTTAGCTACAGGAAGCACAAGTGCCCTTTCCCTGAGCAGGGGCAGGATGGAAGCCGGGGTGCCAGAGCAAGGCAGCCTTACCTGCTGGGCGTCGGTGTCGGACTGGAATGTAACGTACCAGTTGTTGTTGTGAGCAAACTCACAGCTTATCACCTTGGGGCAGTTCTCATTCTTGAACAGAGCCTTCACCTCCTGGGGAGACAAGTTCAGGGCCTTGTAAGTGAGCCAGGTTTATGCTGCAGCTCCTCAGCTGCTGCTCTCCCATGACCAGGGATGTTTTCTTATTCCCCTGACCAAATTACCCTCTACCACAAATCCTCCTTCACCTCCTGGGCTCCCCAAGATAAAACAGAGCAACCACAGCTGTAAGAAAATCAAGATCTGTGTAGACCTGGTGATATTTTCATATGAAACAGATAAGAAAAGTGTGGCTTGAGATCAGCAGAGTCATGGAGACAACAATGATTCCATGAAATATTTCCAAGTCAAGGCGACCTGACAGCTTTGCAATAATCAGATTGTAAAGAGAAGGACAAGCAGCTGCTCAGAGTTTGCATTAAAAGAACCCATTAAAAATGCTGGTAGACTAACACCATGTATTACAACTTTAAAAAACAAAGAACTAAATCATTCTGTTTGCCAAGTATCAGGAGGAATTTTATTATCCTCCCTCCTCGGGCATAATGAGCTGAGCTCATGCTGGGGCTCAATGAATGAGAAATGTTTAGCAACATTTCTTGCTGCCAAAACAACTGTCTGACTTCAAGTAAAGTTATTGCTGTGACAAAAATTTAGCCTGAATTCCAAGCTATGCCCTGGACTGATTTATTTTTGGATCTGAAAAGAAACCAGTTCAAACTTCCTTCCAGAAAAGCCAAGCTAGCTCAGCTTTGGTGGAAAAAAAGTTTACTTAAGAAGGTTTAAATATAGTAGTAAATAATGGGAAGGGATAATGACAATAAGTTTTTGTTTTGGATATTGTGACACTGCACCCAAGCGGAAAAAGTTACTGATGTGGTCTAGAAGAAAAATATCCGTGTTTAATCCAATTAAACACCAGCTGACCTTTTCCTGGTGCTCTTTGAAGCCCTGTTGAAAACACCTTCCAAAACCAGTACCAGTTACTCATTTCCTTTCTCCTGATTTACCTCTATAGGTGTAGTTTCAGGGATCTCACGGAGAATGATAATGCATCGTTTGTGGTTTGGTCTGACTTTCTCCCCCCTTTCATCCACTTGTACCATAGGAGAAGCTGAAAATAAAGTACAAAATTTGGACATCTCAGCAGTAGCAGACTCTCTTATGGAACTTGGAACAAAGAATGAGAATTCAGGAGTTTGGATGAGCCTCCTACTCAATAAAGCTCCTGTCACCATTCACCAGAACAACAAACCATAACCAGCTCAGAGACTGCAACATCTCCCTGAAGCACGGAAGGATTCTTTGTGCTACTGATACAAATATCAAATTCCCAGACTTACATCTCAAAACTTCAAGAATAAGGTCCATGTCCGTTGTCAGCTTCTTAATCCCTTCCATGTTGGCAATTGTCCATATTGGAACAAACTGATCACTGTCCATCTGAGACATCAAGTAGAGATCCTTTGAAAGATTCTCTCTAAAAAGATATAAAATTATTATTTAATAAAGACCCTGAACTTAGAGAAAACTCAAAACAAGAGGATAAGTATAGGCTTAAATAAATATTCACCAGCACCATTCACAACCAAAACACCCTCAGGTTTTCTCTCCTGGAACAAATCCCAGTAAATCAACACAAAGCAGAGTAAGATAATTTTAAAAACTTAATGAAGTTGTAGTGTCCTATACATTTGTCTGCAAAAAAGATCTGCCAAAAAGACTTCTGGTGCCTCACAGGACATGATCTCAATGTCTTATGACTGTGGAGCACAAAGTCATCCTCATCCAAGGACAGAACTGCACAGACAGGACTGGAACAGCTGGAAGGTGCCACAGGGCTTCTACAGCACATCAGCAAATCTTGGTTTGTGTTTTTATCAGGATGATGGTACATATAAAGCCAAGAAAAGGGATATTTGCCAAAGATTATTTAATGAAGGGTTTATACCACTGCACCTACCGAGAGAAGCAGAATTCAAGCTGTTTTCTCAAACATTCTCTAATGTCTTCTGTGGACACAGTGGAGCTGCCATCACCTGAAAGGGACCACATCCACCATCAGCTCCCGCTTTTATGGCAACAAGACCAGGCAAGGACACATCTCATTGCAGAATACAAGAATAAATCCCTCTGGGTAGGACTAAGAGCTCATCCAAGATGATTAAAGACCCCCAGACTCTACCCTTTCAAAATTATTCTGATCCCACTTTGCACTCGTTTGGCCACGTGTTGAGGCCGTACTGGAGCTTCTTGGATGCACATGGACATGTCAGAGCTCCACCTTGGTCACAGCACACTGAGAGCAGCTCCAGGGGGGTTACAGACACTGAGAGCAGCATTTGAACTTCAACACTCACCAGACACTTCATAGATTTGGTATCCCAGATCTTCAGTGGCCAGGACAATTCCATTTGCTGACGCCTCATCAACTCCTGTGCCATTCCTTGTGGCTTCACAGGACGGGGAATACATCACTTCATACTGCTTGCAGCTGTCCTCTGAGATCTCTACGTTACCTGGCAGCAGGAAAACTCCTGTCAGCTTCAGCACATTTCCCTTTGAAAAATTCTGGCTATCAACATTAAAACAAATACTCAAGAAAGCTGTACCTGAGAGTGTCTAACACTAGCCTGTATTTCTTACACTTTGTGTTGGATAGAATTTTTACCTCTCCAATTTCAGGAAGATCTGGTTTGCACCAGGCTCTCAGGGAAAAGCAAATAAAAGTATATAAAGGATCCTGAAATTGATCCCCAAAGTGGCAGAGAATCTAAAAACCAGTCCTTCCACGTGAAATTTAAAATATTAAAGCGAGGTTGCTAAAAACAAGGGATGAAAATTGCTTACACTGCCTCAATTGCTTCACTTTGTTATGAAGAGACAAATGAGTTTCTGTCAGGCAAAGCACAAACCCAGCGCTCTCTCCTCACTTCTGCTGACTTACCAGAAACCTTTGACAAGGCCATGCAAGCTGAATGTTCTCTTCTTTATCCCTAACTTTTACTAAACCATTTTGCAGGGAATCTTCTGCATCCTCTGCCACGCTTTGAGTCACCTCAGCTACACCCTGGATTGAGTCTGAGCCAGACAAGTGAAACCAGTTGAATCTTTAGTTGACACTGCCTGTGTGGCAAGGATGGGATGGGACTGCAGTGGAACAGCCTGAATGAAAGGAGGTAACCATGGGTACTGCACAGGGTCTGCTCCAGAACAAATGTTCCTGACAGTGCTCAGCAGCACCTCGGTTCCCCAGGATTGCAGGTGGCCCTCAGATCTCATTTTCCTGTTCACAGGGTCCAGTGGATGCTCAAGTGCAGCCATGGCACGAATCCATTTCTACACATTCAGCACCCTGCTCCCTCTTAGCGCGTTACTTGGTCATCACCGGGCCCCTGAATCCTGTTCCAGCAGAGCTCAGAGCCCTTCCTGACACCTTCCTAAGACCCAGCACCCTCACAAACCACCTGCTGCTTCCCCATCTTCCTTTACAACACTGCTCCACCAGCACTCAAGGACAGCAGCTCCTGTGCAGAGCTTCCAGAGGCTGCTCCTCACAGCTGAGCTCCCCAAGTGCCCCCAGGAGGGGCCACATCACAACCCCTGTGCCAACACCTCACCCTCAGCTGGAGTCCCCTGGGCTGCTGCTGTCTCCTGCCACGTGTGCTCTGTGCCATTGGTGGGGGGCACGGCCTCAGCACTGCCCTGGGGCACCTCTTGCCACACTTTTGCGTTGGGGTTCAAGCCAGCACCTTTCGATGTTACCTGCTGAAGAGAGCAGAACGCTTCGGTGAGTGAGAGCAACTCAGAGGAGCCTCAGAAGTCAAGCCAGGAAATACAGGCAAATTTAGTGATTGTCTCTAGAGTTCCACATCTCAAGTGTCTACCCAGCTATTAAGCACCTATGTGATTTTTTTATCAATGAAAACAGGAAAATCCTTGGTATTTTCCAAGTATTTCGTTTCTACCTCCATGAGAAGTGTTGCCTTCAACCTCTCTTTATTGACATCCGACAACATCAGCGGAGGCAGCGGCTACTCGGCAAGGACTCTGGGAACTCATAAGCTTTTAAAGACTTGACTGTCATAATGCTCCAGTCCCCTTTCACCAGAAAGGGAAATTTTCCCTCCTCCAGACCCCTTCCTAGAAAGGAAGGTAAAAAAACATATGTCAAGGAGAAGAAACTGTATAACTTAACGGAATTAGTGACAACTGTACTAACCAAGCATCACCTGTGCTGTGTCAGGATTCCTCCTGAACTTACCCAGTCCTACCCCATTCCCCAGCAATCTTACACACATCAACAGCCACTAATGATTTCCTCAGACTGGTAACCAAGGAGATTAAAGGTTTTGAATTGCCAAGACAAACTTACACACCATCCCAGCCTGCTGGGGAGAGAACAGGATCTGCTCACTTTGGGCCTGGGCAACAAGGACCATAATTAGAGTCAAAGGGTTACAAATGAAACAGACAAAAAGAACTGCAAGGCTCCAGCCTGGCACCTGACACAGAAACACTCATTCCCACAGCACAAGATAAGAATCCTTCAAGGTCCCTCTCCCAGAGCTGCTCAAAGGCATTTTGGGTGAGGAATCCAACAATCCAGCAGTGGCACAGAGGAAAAACATGGCTTTTGCTCCTTTCATGTAGAGAAATAATAACTATAGTTATAGGGTAGTGAATAAAAGTACCCTTTTGCAAAAATTCTCCCCCCAGGATATCCCAACACCCCACAGGCAGCTGTAACAGTTCCTCCAGCCACTGAACGCTGCTCCACTTCACTGCTGCAATTTGCTGGACTTTAAAAGGTGAAAGTCATTAATCCAGCTCATATCCACAAACACACAGATAAGCAAGCTGGGCATGTTGGAGGCCAGGCTCCTGCATCCTGAAGTTAAGGAGTGGCTCACTACCAGGCCTCAAACACACAGCACAAGGATAAGGAAGCAGTTGCAATAGCTTTAGAGATAATTCCTCTGCCAAGGTCACACCTCGTGCCAGAGCTGTGTGCTGCAAGGACAAGCCCCAGCTCAGTAACAAGAAGCCTCCAAAAACTGGAGAAGTTCAAGACAACCGTGTGAGAAGCAAAACAAAGACCACGTTTTCTGCAAAGCTCTGAGATTCAAACCCCCCACGCACAAGTGATTTAATCCACATAGCAACAGAGTCTTCCCCTCCCGTTAATCTTTGCCCAGGAGCAGAGCTGGAAACTGGAAATAGTTCAGGGTGAAAGGACACACGTGTATTTCCCTTTGCAGATTTCAGAGTAGCTATTCCCCAGCAAAACCTGCAAAGCAAAACCCTGTAACCTGCTGCAACCACAGGCTGTCACTGCAGTTCAGCAGCTCCAAACTAAGTTCTGGTCACTCCTGGGCAGCATCACCTGCCCACATGGGCTCCTGCTCACACATCCAGAGCCAGCAGTTCCTTGAACTTACTTCTCAACAAAGCAAAAAGAAACAAGACACATCCAGGAGATGATTCATTCTTTTCTAAAAATAAACTATGCCTCACTACCTACATCTCTAAGGGTAGCACTGAGCTCAGGCCTAAAGTAATTTGCAGGAATAAATGTGATAAAGTGAAACTGAAACACTTTGTTGTGGTTACTGCATTTCTGGAGGTGACTGGGACTAAAAGCAACGCAGATGAAGTGATGAACACCATGGCTGGGACTCACACCTGGAACAGAGCGTGGGCCACTTCCCCTTGTGCTAGAAACACTGAGCTGTAACAGCCCAGCAGGATGCAGCCCTGCTCTCACTCATCTAAACAGCAAAACCCCACAGACTGCAGAGGATAAAAAGTCCCTAATTTACATCAGCTTTTGGGAAATTCATGCTGCGCTCCACGAGCAAAATCGCTCCGTCCTGGCCAGCGGCTCTTCAGAAGAGAAGGCCAAAATATCAATTCTTGCTTATTTAACTGAGGCTACAAACACTGAGCCCGTGGGATTGGCTGCAGCATGATCCTCCCAGCTGCTATCGGGAACTTTCATGACGAGGTTAAAGCTTTACAGAGTGACAAAGGTTGGGAACACTCGCTGGGATCCACGAGCTGACAAAGCTCTCCTCCTCAGCACAGCTTCCCCTCTCGCTCACACCACTTCCAGCAAAAGTGGATCAAAGATTCCTCCAGCAACTCCTAAAATTGGCTATTGAAAAGAATTCTCATTCTGAAACATGGCAAAGGATATTTTTCTTATTGTAATTACATCTAAATTACACTTAACCAGATTCAATGAAGTTAACAAAATTGCAGGCATTCGAGAGTTTTAAAGCATCCATTTTAGTATTAACTCAAATTATTCTGCAACCAAAATCCTAACTCAGATCTTGTGAGAGATTTCCTGGAGTAGACAAATTCTCTGAAACAGAAACAAAGCAAAAAAATCCAGAAGAGAATTTAACCAAACTTGTGAGGGGAGAAACGAACCCTTTTCCAGAAATGGAAACGTAAGCAGATGGAAAAACCCCAAGGTCAGCAAAGCTGTGGGAGGCAGCTGAGAGAAGCCTTGTGCTGGCTGGGGCACAGGCAGGTGGGGACCCCGAGGGGCTCAGACTCGTGTGCCCACCCTCTCTGAGGGGAGTGATGCCCACTCAGAGGCTGGATAAGGAGAGGTTGGCATCAAACCAACACACACAACTCCTTCAGAGCTGCTGGCAGGTTCCAGCTAACAGTGCAGGGCTCTGCTAACTCCCAGCCTCACAGTAACTTCAGTGGTCACAGGACATCCCTCCCACCAGGAGCTGCAATGGTTTTCCATTGAGGAGCCTCTTCCAGCCCTTGGAAAAGCCAAGGCACAGCTGTGCTGTCTGAAGGTGGTACCTGGGTCACAGGGGTGTGAACAGGGGCAGTGTGGGGTCAAAGTGTTTTGCTCCAGAGAGCAAAGTCAGAGTGGTCAGAGTGGTCAGAGTGTTTTGCTCCAGAGGGCCAAAACACTCAGTGCTTCCCACAGTCCTGGATTTCTAACCAGGAGACAGCATGGGCAACATTTCACCCACCTGAAACACAAAGACTCCCATTTCCCCAAGAAATTACAAATATATGGAATTAGGAGCACATACCCATCTGAGCGGAGCCCAGCAGCCATTATCAATTCCGTTTCTCTGGATGGATATTTATTAATATTCCAATGCACCTAATTATTAACTGTTAACACAGATCCTGGCTTAGACAGAGAAAAAAGGCCTGCCCCATACATAAACCTATGAAACAGCACAAGCCTTATACAGCCCTTACACAGCCATCACTGCAGAGATTTGGAACTAAAGGATGTTGAAGGAAATTCAATTCCCCCTCACACACTGTGAAGGGCTCAGCACAATCACCATGCAAACACTGACAGCTACAGCAACTCAGCCAATCCCCCTGAAAACCTCAGGACTTCCACCCATTCTGTGCTGTATTTTCCAGGCATCCCCAAAGATCCCCAGATAAAGCTGCTGGCTGCTCCCAAGCATCCAACTGCAGCATTCCAGGACACCTAGCTCTGAGCTCCAGCTCTCTGTCCTGGCAGTGAAAATAAACCTTCAGAAAGTCCATATGCTCCTCAGGAACTCAAATATTATTGAGGCTTCCAGAATGAAGACCACAGGAACTCCCAACACTATCAGAGGAAGATCAGCGCTGAGTTTGTGCTTTAAGACTCCCTAAAAATCTCAAAGTGCTGATGAGCTCCAGCTCCCACCCGCAGCAGCAGCCATGTGCTCCCTGATCTGCTCCAGCTCCCGTCCACATCTCCATCCCTGCATTCCAGAACCTGCCTCGTGCACCCGGGGCCTCTCGCCACGCTCAGCCTGGGATGAGGCAGCTGCTCATGCCTCCCATCAGCCTCAGCAGTTCCTCTTCCAGCAGAACACTGCAACCCCTAACTCTCCAGGCCTGTCACCGTGTTCAGGACAACTTCTAGTCCTACCCGCGAAACCAAGGAACATTCAGCTCAGAACTAAGGTGACTCACTTAAAAAACAGAACGTGTTTCCTAAACTGCTTTATTGAGAGGTTCCTAGGCACGGAGCACATGTTGGTGTTTGTGTTGAGCCCACCAGCACCATCTCACCCGGCACCCGAACAAAACCCGTGGGCAGAACCCCCCGAGCCGAACCCCTGGTGCAGACACAGCCCAGCGCCGGCCCGGCTCCCTCCGTGACTCCCCCGGCCCGGGCAGCTCCTTGCTCCGTGCACGTTTCGGGACAAAACTCGGTGCAAAGTTTATGGCGGCCACCCGGGTTCGTTCAGCAAAGGCTAAAAGCGCTTGGCCAAGCCCGTGAAAGGCCGCGAGCAGGTGAAGCCCCATCCCGGGCCACAGCGGACACGGCGCCCGCCCTCCTCGGTGACCTCCAGGGCCGGGCTGGGCCGCGCTGCTCGTCCCGCCCGGACCCGGCGCGCCGGGGAACGGCAGAACCTCCCCCTCCCGTGCCACAAACCACCCCCAGTGTTTAATTAACGCAATTAACGAGGCGCCGCGCTCGGGGCAGGCCCCGCGGGGCCGCCCCGCGTGTCGAGGGGCCAGGCCGGGCCCGCTCCTGGGAGGCCTCGGGGAGGCCCCGCGTGTCCCGCGTCACCTTCACGGCCGGGCCGCGGCGGCACCCGAAGGTCACGGCGGCGCCTCCCCCGCCCCCTGCCCCGGCGGAACCTTCCAGAGCGCCCCCCGACCCCCCCCCACCGGCCCGCGGCCGCCGCCCCCGGATCTGCTGTGTCAGCCCCGTCCCCTCCCCCGGCGCGGCGTGCGCGGCCTCCCGCCGCCGCCTCCCGCCACATGGCCCGGCGCCGTCACCTCACCTCCACGAACAGCAGCATCGTGCCGCCGCGGCCGGCGGGCCCGCGCTCCCCGGTGCCCGGAGCGGCGATCGGGACACGCGGGCTCCGCCTCCGGCCGCGCCGCCCGGCCCGGCCCGTCCCGCCCGCTCCCCGCCCGCCGCCGCCGCCTCTTCCGGGCGCACCGAGCGCGTCCGGGGCACGGCCGGGACGAACCATTCCCGCGCGGGGACGGGGGGGTGCGGCCGCCCCGCTGGGCGCCGCCAGAGGGCGCGGTGGCTGCAGCGCCGCGCGGGCGAAGCGGCGTCCCCCGCGGAGGGAGTGGAAGGGCCGTGAACCGCCTTGTGGAAAATTCTCGGATTTGGGGTTTTAGGGGTGGTTTTGGTTGGTTGATTGTTTTTTCTAATTAAAGAACTCATAATCCTTTATGCTTCCAACAAACCGCACACACCGGCACGGTCAGACCCCGCTCCGACCCCACCGGCCGCCCCGGCCCCTTTTTTCCCGATTTTCCCAGTTTTCGGGCCAGCCCCGCGGATCCCGCAGGGACACTGCGGAACAGGGCAGCGATCCCGCAGTCCCGCTTCCCTGTGCCCGTGCCCGGTGCCCCCGAGCCGGGGGTGCCCAGGGACCGTCCCCTCCGGCTGTCTCCTCCCGGTGTCCCCTATCCTGCCGGCAGACCCCCGTCCACCCTCCCCGGAACCCCGGCGAAGGGGCCGGAGCGGCTGCCAGGGCTCGGCCCGGCCAGGAACGGGTGGGGAAGCGCTGGGAAGGGGCCGTGGCTCCGGTGGGAATGTCACAGGAGCAGGATTTCCTGCAGACAGCACCGATATAGCCAGGGCACGAACCCACGGCAGGCTCCTGCAGGAGGCAGCCCTTGGTTCGGCCGACTTGGGTGTCCCCCCAGACACACAGAGGGAGCAGCAGGAATGATGCTCTGAGGGTATTCCTGCCAGGAAAACACACCTTGAAACCACTTTGCTTCAGAGGAAGACTCACAAAATATATTACAGTGCATTGAGGGGTAACTGGTTGGTTTTGGTAAGAGAATTAAACACTGTGGTGTGGGTGGAGGATGGAAATTCCAGCCCTCGGGTCCCCTGCCCTGTGAGGGACCTCACCAACGCCATCACCTGCAATTAGGGCTGGGCAGATCCGTGTGGATAAGTCGGAGCCAGGGAATAATCAGGGTCCATTGAGGAGATTAAACACAGAGCACAAGCTGCCCAGCAAACACGGCCCAGCTGGCAGGCCCTTGGCTGTTCCGTGGGTAGCAGCTCCAAGACGTGGAGGAGTGAAAGAAAAAGAAACAGAAATTGAATAAATAAGTTGGAACAGGAAAAATGGGAGGGGACTATTCACACACTGAATCCTCTCACTGCCAAGAGCTGCCCGACCTCAGTCCACAGGGACAGCACAGGAGCAAACCCCTGTCAGATCAGAGTTCGTCACATCAGGCACTGGTCTGTGCTCTCTGGGACCAGGGACAGGAGCCGCGGGAACAGCTGGAGCTGTGCCAGGGGAGGGTTAGGTTGGATATCAGGAAAGGTTCTTCCCCCTGAGGGGTGTCAGGCATTGAAAAGACTCTCCAGGAATGGTCACAGCCCCCCAAGGCTGCCAGAGCTCCAGGAGCATTTGAACAACACTCTCAGGCCCATTGTGGGAGTGGGAGCTTCTTCCTTGTCATCCCCTTCCCTGCACTTGTCCTCTCCAAAGCACTTTGCAACCATTAACTCCTTAATCCTCACTCACACCCCCAGGAAGGGTAAGCATCACCCTGGCTCACAAACCTCCTGAGCTCCAAAGCTGCTCCTTAATTTTGAATGTGCCCAAATGGAGCTCCCAAAGCAACGGAGGGATCGCAGCATGGAATTGTTCTTAGCCCCGTTTCCAGACCTGCCGAACACCCGAGATTCCACAGGAGCTGAGGACTCCTGGAGCCAGGCTTTGCTGGGATGTAAATTACCACTAATGCTCAGATTAGAGCATTTCCCAGCAGTTGTTTCTGCCCATTCCATGGAAACACCCGGCTGGTAAAGGCTCAGTGTCAGCAGGACATTTCCAGCTCAGGAACAGCCCCAGCCTCACTGGCTGGGGTGGAAAACCAGGCCTGCTCCATAGAGTGAGACAGGAATTCCTGCTGGGTGACAATTCTGTGTCAGCCAAGGGAGAAATGCAGGAGTGACACCGCTCGAGCCAGGACACGACCAGGTGCTGTTGTCACCTGTTGGGAGGTGAAACACGCAGTTCTGTATTTTATACCCAGGCAGGTTCTTTGCTGTGAGTCACCAGCTGTGACTGAGGCACGGGCAGTTCCCCTTGAGCCCCATCCAGGCAGCCCAGGAGCTCCCAAAGCCTTCTCCCAACAGCTGGGTTTGAAATCGTGGCAGAAACAATTGTTCCTCCTGCCCAGGGTGTTCCAGAGCAGAGTGAGCTGGTGGACACACAAATGAGACATCCCAGTCTGAGAACAAGCAAAGGGCAAGGCAAGGAAATCCTTTCCTACAGCAGCCCTCACCCAGCTCCATGGAATCAGAATATGGAGCCATTTCTCTCTTGTTAGAGTCAGATTATCTGATGTGAGCCAATGCCAGTAAAAACTGGGATTTCCTGTCACCAACCTCCCTCTGCTCTATTGACTTTTCCTTGCTTTGGGCGTACCTTATGGATTTATTCCTCATTCCCCAGCAGAAGGGATCCAGCTGCATTCAAGGGCATCTCCCCTGTTCCTCTAGAGCAGGAGCATGCCAACACTCAGGAGGGTGGTGAGGACCATGACACAGAGACCTGAACGGGAGCAGAGCCTTTCCCAGCCCTCAGAGCCAGCAGGGCACCCGCTGGTTTCGCAAGAGGAAACTCCACCTCGGGGTAGAGCAGAGGGCACCAGGAATTCGGCCTTAGGAAGGCAGGAGTGAATGTTAAAACCACGATGCAGAGCAGTAGGAGCGGTGCTGGGAGAGATTTATGGCTCCTGGGTGTGAGCTGGGACGTCCCACTGGCAGCTCCCAGCTCTGGGCTCTCCCTTGCAGTGCAAAGTGCTGCTCCCTCCACCTCTGTGCTGAAACAAGGAGTCAGCTTCCCTTTTCCTGGAGTTTCACTGTGTCACATCCACTCTGGGATGGGTGCTTACTTCAGTCCCAGCCGACTACAAACACCAGAATAAAAGCAGGGCCTGTTTATTGTCCCTGACTCTGATGAGCTCCCTGCACAGCAGATTTATCTGTTGGTTACCTGGGCATCAACTGCCCAAGGGGTGCCAGGCCAGTCCCTGGCTCAGGGGGGATGTTCTCTCCCTGTCCCCCACATTTTGCCCTGTGCCCGCAGAGCTGATGCCAACGTGGCTCAGCCACATCTTGGCCCCGGTGTTTTGTCCAAAGGTGCTAAATTTGGTTACCACACCTCTGCTGCCATCCTCACTATCTGCAAGGAATAAATATTTTCAGACAAGGAATAAATATTGAGTTGGCCTCACTATCTCTGCCTCAGCTCCTGTTGCCTCCTCCCAGGCAGCAGAGCCTGCAGGATTACAGGGTGTTCCCACCACGGAGCTGAGCAGATGCTGCCAGGGCCTCTTTTTTGGTGGCTCTGACACAAAAGGCTGGGCTCAGCAGCTGCTGGAAACATCTGGCTTTAATTCTTCCTTAAAGCCACGACTTTCATTTGGCCACCAAACCACGTCCCTTTCATCTCTCCAGAGAACCAACCCTGTGGCAGAGCTGCCTCTGTCTGTCCTTACCCTGCATTATCCTGCAGGAAGGTGCCAGAAAATTCAGGGCTGTGCTCCTCACAGGGGAGAGATCTTGCGGAGAGCAGCAGCTCCCAGCTGACAAGTTCCTGCTCTTCTGTTCCTTTAAAGTAATTTCTAGACACACATTTCTCCATCAGCATGGTTCCAAGGGGCTCAGAGTCCAGCTCAAATAAAGCCCCTAAATTCCCTGGGCTGAGAACCCAAATGTGAAGAGTCAACAGAAGTGACATGTTGTGCTGAGCAGGCCAGAGGGTGTCCTTGGGCTGGAGGGAGAATCTGTGTCTGTTTAGAAATCCCTTCAAGTGAGGGTGCTGAAGGTTTGTGGCTGGGCGGGCAGGCTGGGAAGAGGGCTGGGAAAAGGCCTTGGCAGGATCAGAAACACCAGCAGGGGCAGTTTACTCAACAGCACTTGGCTGATAATTCTGCTATCAATAAACCCGAGCGGGGAGATGTTTTGAACGCTCAGGGTGTTTTTGTGCAGTAGAAGGGGCCTGGAGTGAGAACTTTGGAGGTTGGAGAGATCAGCTGCCATCACATGATCCCGTGGTAACCACAGCAAAGTTTTATCCAAAGCCAGGGAAACTCTTGGCTCTGCTTCTGGGCCTGAGCTCAGCAGAGATTGTGCCATTGTATTTTCACAAACTTCCATCGCTGCTGAAGTAACTGATTGGCTTTTCCAGGCAAAGCTGAGTCCTGCTGTGGGAGAGGGGCCTTGGGCAGCTCAGAGCCATCACGGGGTCTGATCCCAACATGCCAGGCCAACCCAGCTCCAGGGGCAGCCAGCCCTGAGCAATCCATCTCCTGTGGCAGACCCTGGCTACACCCAAAGCCTTGGCAGGGCTGGAGTGTAGAAACTGTGCTATAATTTCGAATAAACCAGCTCTTCCCATCTGCCTCCTGCCCTGCTGCTGGGCCACGCTCTTCAAATGGCCACAGGGAAAAGGTTTTACCCTTTTATTTAAGGTGATCAAATAAAACAATCCATGCAGGGGACAGCAGGACAACAACAGGCTCACATGGAGTCACAGCTGCCGCCAGGAGCAGGGACCTGCCCTGGAGCACAGTGTGGGGGATTTTTCTGCAGCTCAGGTGGTATTTTTGGTACTCAGGATTTTCCCTTCTTGCTACACTGTACTCCAGCCAGGAAACCCTCCAGGGCATCCCGCCAGCTGGAGCTGATCTCCAGAGGAACGTTCAGGAGAGCTCAGGTGTCCCTGTCCCACCTCTCCATCCAGGTCAGAGCTCCTGGCACGGAGGAGGAGCGAGTGAATCACCAGGAAAGGGCAGGAGCAGGAAATGCAGCTGCAAGGCTGACCCAGCATGGCTCCTCCTGGACCTTGGACAGATGGAGCTGCCCAGGAGTTAATGT